AATGCCAACCGATGCCAACCTCAAGCACTATAGAAAGGCACTAAATGGGCTAATGCATGTAAAACACTTGTCAACTTTAAAGCTCTGAACAAATGTTACATGTTATTACTACCCATCCTTCAATGCCCAATTCCAGTGCTACCACCTTTACCGTCTCCCTCAGCCCCCGCCCCATAGATCATCCCTTCCTCTGTGCATAGTAGTTGCTTCTCTGTCTTTGTGTATTTAATTTGCTGTGTTACTATTGTAAAGTTATTCGCTTATTTAATTCATTCATTCTTTTGTTTCATAAATATTTATTGAGCTCTCCCTCTGTACAAGACACTTGCTTTCTCCCTCCCTACATTTATAAACTGTCTGGGCAGAAACTGTCTTGTTCTTATTTGTGTCCTCGAGAGCATGTAGCTCATTATCTTGCACCTTCTAAGGGCTCAGTAGTGGTTGTTTTTTAGGGGTGACATGGAGCTGTGCCTTTGAGGTTGGGAGGATTTAGATTAGGTATGGATGGGTATTCCTGGGAGATAGGGTACAAGCCCTGCTTCCTTCCAGGTGGCAATCCCATCATGGCTGGAGGTTAGAATCATCTTGGGGAGCTTTAAAACACATGGGAGCCAAGGCTGGGTGCGGTGGCTCACGCCTGTAATCCCAGCACTTTGGGAGTCCGAGGTGGGTGGATCACAAGGTCAAAAGATCGAGACCATCCTGGCTAACATGGTGAAACCCCATCTCTACTAAAAACACAAAAACTAGCACGCCTGTAGTCCCAGCTACTCAGGAGGCTGAGCAGGAGAATCACTGGAACCCAGGAGGTGGAGGTTGCAGTGAGCTGAGATCACGCCACTGCACTCCAGCTTAGGTGACAGAGCAAGATTCCATCTCAAAAGAAAGAAAGAAAAAGGACATGAGGGCCAGGCGAGACAGCTCATGCTTGTAATTCTAGCACTTTTGGAGGCTGAGGCAAGAGGCTCACTTAAGCCCAGGAGTTCGAGACCAGCCTGGGTAACATAGCAAGACAATGTCTCTACACACAAAAAAAATTTTTTTAAATTAGCCAGGTATGGTGGTACACACCTGCAGTCCCAGCTATGCAGGAGTCTAAGGTAAGAGGCTTGAGCCCAGGAGTTGAAGGCTGCAATGAGCTATGCTTGTACCACTGCACTCCAGACTGGATGACAGAGCAAGACTCTGTCTCTTTAAAAAAAAAAAAAAAAAGACAAGGGGCTGATTTACCCCTACTCCCAGAAATTCTACTTTAACTGTCCTGGAATGAGACCTATCACTGAACTGCAGGGTTTTTTTTTTTTTTTTGGTGGTTGTTGTTTGTAAAGACAGGGTCTTATATTGCTCAGGCTAGTCTTGAACTCCTGGCCTCAAGAGATCCTCCTGCCTTGGCCTCCGGAGGCACTGGGATTACAGGCAAGAGCCAACAGGCACAGCTCATTGAATTCTTTTGAAACCACCTCCTCCCTCCAGTGATTCTAATGTGCACCTGGGTTCGCTAGCCACAGCTCCAAGACAATTGTATTAATGGGTGACTGACACTCATACACCTAGCGATTGTCTTCAGTTCACTGGCCCATCACAGGGCTGACTCTGGGGATAACAAATCCTACTTAGTTTCCTTGTGCCTGAATCTTGGGAGGCCGACCTACCCCTTCCCCTCACTCAGCAGTGCCTGCTGAGCGGTCTTTGATCGTCGTTTGTGTTTTTGGTGACCCGACAAAGGCCAGGGCAGACGCACCGCCAATAGCTTTCTAGTTTATTGATCCAAGCCTCTGTTATTTCATTAAAGGAAGCGGTGGGTGGGCTGGGGGTACACAGCCATGCCAGGATTGCAGTTGTCACTCGTTTATCACCTTTGGTCACCCATTTGTCACCCGTTTGTCACCTGCAAAGGTTTCTAGAACCTCTCCGTCTGCTCCATGGATTGAAAAACAAAAAGGGGCTAGGGGCAGTGGCTCACGCCTGTAATCCCAGCATTTTGGGAGGCCAAGGTGGGTGGATCACTTGAGGTCAGGAGTTTGAGACCGGCCTGGCCAACATGGTAAAACCCCATCTCTACTAAAAATACAAAAATTAGCCAGGCATGGTGGTGGATGCCTGTAATTCCAGCTACTCAGGAGGCTGAGGCAGGAGAATCGGTTGAACCGGGGAGGCGGAGATTGCAGTGAGCTAAAATCCCTCCACTGCACTCCAGCCTGGGTGAAAGAGCAAAACTCCATCTCAAAACAAACAAGCAAACAAACAAAAAAACCCACAACAACAAAAACCAAGAAACAACAAACAAACCCTAAAACAGATCAATTCACCAAACAGCTAAAGAAACCTTCAGAGCACCTCCCCCATTCCCGCCTTCCCCATTTAGTCTCACTGTTCCTACAGCTCTAATTGAATTTTTACACCTCATTTGTGTGTTTAGGCCGCTCCTTCTTGTGTTTTCTTTCTTTCCTCCCCTTGAACAGCTTCCCCTCCAGGTCGACCACCTGCGATTACGCCTCCCGTGCAGACGTGCACAGCGCCATTTAATAACAGGGGCGCCTTCCTGACAGCTGTTTTGATAATGGTGTCGGGGAAGGTTCTTTCATGGGTGCACATGGCAGAGAAAGCCTCGCCTGGTATCAGGGTCTGAGATGTTCCGGTTCCACCCGTAATTATACCTTCTCAACCTCACCTACCCACCTCCTTTTCAGAGGAGAACTATACTGAGTGACACTCACCTCCCAAGTAGAGGGGCTGCTGACTTTTCAAGCAGATCAAGGCAGATTTTAGGGTTGGGAAATTAGTACTTCATTCTTCATCTCCCCTGCGGGTGCTGTCCCAACTAGAGAAAAGCCGCTGGCTGGTATTGGAAAGATCATCCCCAGAGGGGGTAACAACAATACCACCGCCTTTACCTCGATGGGCGGGGGGGTGGCTTGTTTCCAAAAGAAATTATGCCTCCATTACGGGGCCATTTTAGACCATTAGTGATATGTTTGCATTTCCACAGGAATGTTTACCTTGCCTTGCCGGGAACCGAGGTCAGTCCGTGCTGCAACGTGAGTTAGTAACTGTGATCAAAGCTCTCTGCTGTAGCTCAAGGAACCAACCCTTAGGTTTGGGAGTTGAATTTCAACTCACTAATTGGCTCTGCAGGTGCCTTTGTTTTTCGTTTCCACTCCCTAAGTGCCCTTGTCAGTCTCTGGCTGGCCTCCCTGGGTGCTGGAGAATTCAAAACAAGGAAAAGGGGGAAACTTGGGGAATAAGAAAGAAACTGAAGGTTACCCTTGAGCTGGATAAGTCACTTGATTTCTCTGTGACTTTGGGATTCTGTTGGTACCTGCCTACTAAGTTCGTGGGAAGGTTAGGTGAGATAAGGCATAGTCACCCTCAGCAAATGCAAGGTAGAGCCTCCTTGCTCACTAAAAGGAAGCTGTTGTTATTTCTATGTTCTTTCTCCCATCACTGTAAGACGGGACCAAAGTCCTGTCTGGATGGTACCCCTACCCCTGTCTGCTTCAGAAGGGAATCCATTAAAACACACACACACACGCCTTCTGAAATCTTCAGCACCTGGGAAAATCAGTAGTTGGAGGACCCCCTTGATGCTTTTTTAATTTTGTTTTTGTTTTTTTCAAGATGGGGTCTTGCTCTGTCACCTAGGCTGGAGTGCAGTGGCGCAATCTCAACTCACTGCAACCTTTGCCTCTCAGGTTCAAACGATTCTCCTGTCTGGGCCTCCCAAGTAGTTGGGATTACAGGTGTGCGCCACCGTGCCTGGCTATTTTCGTGTGTGTGTCTGTGTGCATTTTTAGTAGAGACAGGGTTTTGCTATGTTGGCCAGGCTCTTTTCAAATTCCTGACCTTAGGCGATCCACCTGCCTAGGCCTCCCCAAAGTGCTGAAATTACAGGTGTGAGCCACCACACCTGGCCCCCTTGATGCTTTTTAATCCCAACTACAGCAAAAATCAGTTTAATTTTTTTTTTTTTTTTTTTTTGAGACTGGGTCTTGGCTTTGTCACTCAGGTTGAAGTGCAGTGTTGTGATTATAGCTCGTGGAAGCCTCCAACTCTTGATCTCAAGTGATCCTCTTGCTTCAGCCTCCCAAGTAGCTAAGACCCTGCACCACTGCACCCACCTTATTATTATTCCTATATATATATATATATTTTGTAGAGACGTGGTTTTACTATATTGCTGAGGCTGGTCTTGAACTCCTGGGCTCAAGTGATCCTCCCACCTAGGCCTCCCAAAGCGTTGGGATTATAGGTGTGAGCCACTGCACCTGGCCTCCTTTGATACTTTTTAAATTCCACTGACATCAAAAATCTCTCCATGTCATTCCTAATGGGAGAAGCTTCTGCCTTTTCCTCAATTTTGCTAGGGCCAGAGACTCAGTACTTTTCAAAGATGCCTGGGCCATTTTCAGATTTTAAAAAGTTCTTGTCTCATATTGGGTTCACATCTAACTCCCTATAACTTTTTTCTTTTTCTTTTCTTTTTTTTCTTTTGATGGAGTCTCCCCCTGTTGCACAAGCTGGAGGGTAGTGGCACGATCTTGGCTCACTGTAATCTCTGCCTCCCAGGTTCAAGTGATTCTCCTACCTCAGCCTCCTGAGTAGCTGGGACTACAGGTGCCTGCCACCATGGCCAGCTAATATTTGAATTTTTAGTAAAGACAGGATTTCACCATGTTGGCCAGGCTGGTCTCAAACTCCTGGTCTCAAGTGATCCGCCTGCCTGTGCCTCCTAAAGTGTTGAGATTACAGGCATGAGCCACTGCGCCTGGCCCTCCCTATAACTTTTGATGGAATGGATTGTGCTGGGTGGGATTGTTCAAGTTAAACACTGAAAAACTGACAGCAGTCTTCTTAAGTCCCTTCTAACTCCAAGCCTATATGAGTCTAATTTAGTCTTTTCTTTCTCCCCTGCCTACTTTACACCACTCCTGTTAGCATTGGTTGTGACCACACTGGTTTGGAAAGTGCTAAAAATTTAAGGGGTATCACTGTCATTTCAGGTGGCACTCCCCATGCTTACCTCATTCCAGCATGACAACGCCGCATGACTTATGTAAGTTTCCAAAAACACCTCAAAATGGAAAAAAATTCTGTAATGACCCATCTATCCATACCCATCACCCAGTGGCAGAAATTACCAGTATTTTTGCTAATCTCATCATATGGTTTCTTGACCTTATTCCTATCTGGCTTACCTGAGCACTTTCTAGATTGCCAGCGTCCCCTCTGAAATCGAATGATTAGAGGATTTTAAATGTTGGAGTAGAGAGTATTTCTGTCTTACTCATCACGGTATCTCTAGTGCCCGGCACTGCCCTGGTCATAGTAGACTCTTAATAAAAAATTATTCAGTAACTGGACTTGGCTGGGCACAGTGGCTTATGCCTGTAATCCTAATACTTTGGGAAACTGAGGTGGGAGGATCCCTTGAGGCCAGGAGTTTGAGACCAACCTGGGAAACGTGAGATTCTGTGTCTACAAAAAATAAAGACAATCAGCTGAGTGTTGTGGTATGCATCTGTAATCGTAGCTACTCGGGAGGCTGAGGTGGTAGGATTGCTTGAACCTAGGAGGTAGAGGCTGTAGTGAGCTGTGATCACTCCACTGCACTCCAGACTGGGCAACAGAATGAGAACCTCTGTCTACAAAAAGAGAAGAAGATAAATATATAACTGTACTAAAAAAAACAAACAAATAAAAAACGGAGGCCTTTGGTGCTGTAACAGTCCCTCAAGAATTGTGTCCTCTTGGGTAAAAAGGAGATTCTCTGAATATACCAAAGAGGCTAGATCATGACGATGACAATTAACTGACCCAAATTGGCTGTTAAGGGAATTTCAAGAATCCTTTGGGCCCCCAGCTGGATAGAATGTTGGGGCAAAGTAGATCTGACTGCCATTGGTTTGTATGAGAAATCACTCCTAAATTCTCATCATTGTTGTGCACTCGAGGATTTCCCCAGAGCAGGCATAGGTGCCACCTGTGTGCTGCTCTCTCTCTTAGGACTTGGCTGCATGGTTCTCCAGCAGGCCCTGGCTCTCTGTAAAGTCAAGTGGAAGCTCTGGGAGCAGGACAGCATCAGAGAACAGGGTGAGTCCCTTCACCTCCTGTGCCCGCTCGCTTGTAAAATGACCCATCTCATGAGTTACTTTGTAAAGTATATCTCACAATGCCTGGCATAGGATCGTTCACTAACTCTTAGTTTTTGTTCTCCAAGTGGTGTGCAGGTAATCAAGAATCAACTTGTGGTTGGGTGTGGTGGCTGTGATTACACCTGTAATCCCAGCACTTTGAGAGGTAGAGGGCAGTGGATTGCTTGAGCTCAGGAGTTCGAGACCAGCCTGGGCAACATGACAAGACCCTGTCTCTACTAAAAATGTACAGAAAAAAAAATAGCCAGGCTTGGTGGCATGTGCCTGTATTCCCAGCTACTTGGGAGGCTGAGGTGGGAAAATTATTTCAGCCCGGGAGACAGAGGTTGCAGTGAGCCAAGATGGCACCACTACGCTCCAGCCTCGGTGACAGAGCAAGACCCTGTCTCAAAAAAAAAAAAAAAAAAATGAGCAAACCCACACAGTAGTCTCTCCATGCCTGACCTCTGTCTTTCATGCCTGACATTTTTTTAGTGAATACCTACTGTGTGCCGGGTGCAACAGCCTGGTGGCACCAGGTTATTTAGGAATTTAAAGGTAGCATTTGTGTTTACCCCCAGTTCGTCCTCAAATGTTCCTTGGTGCCACTTTCAGAGCTGAAACATGGGCCGGAAGGGCCATGGATCTGACATGAAGCAGAACTTCTTGCCTGTTTATGTCATCACCTATGAAGGCCATGAGCAGATCAACATGGTGACCTTCACTCTCATCTAGAGCACTGGTCTCATCTTTTCCTCACTAGCATACACGAGGTGCTTGACTGATTCCTGCATTCATGGATAAGTTTGTAGTGCGGTTAAACCTGGCTTGGATCTGGAGGAACACCTTTGGATAATGCAGCCAGGAATAGCAGCCATGACGCAAGTTAAAGAAATCATGCACGCAAAAAATGTTGCCTCACCTAAGGAAAGAAGGAAGGATGGAAGGATGGAAGAAAGAAAGGAAGGAAGAATGGATGAAAGGAAGGAAGGATGGAGGGAGGATGAATGAAAGGAAGGAAGGATAGATGAAAGGAAAAAAGAATGGATAAAAGGAAGGATGGGGAAGAAAGGATAGATGAAGGAAGAATGGAAGGAAGGATGGATGAAAGGAAGGAAGGGTGGAAGGAAGAAAAAATGGAAAGGGAAAGAAGGGAAGGAAGGAACCAAGTTAGGAACCAGGCTGCACAGCAGGAGGTGAGCAGCAGGTGAGTGAGCAAAGCTTCATCTGTATTTACAGCCACTTCCCATCGCTTGAATTACTGCCTAAGTTCCACCTCCTGTCAGGTCAGCAGTGCCATTAGATTCTCATAGGTGTGCGAACCCTACTGTGAACTACGCATGTGCGGGATCTGGGTTGCACCCTCCTTATGAGAACCTAATGCCTGATGCTCTGTCCCTGTCTCCCATCACCCCCAGATGGGACCATCTAGTTGCTCGAAAGCAAGCTCAGGGCTCCCACTGATTCTGCATGATGGTGAGTTGTAGAATGATTTTTTTACATATTACAATGTCAGAATAATAGAAATAAAGTGCACAATAATGTAATGTTCTTGAATCATCTGGAAACCAGCCCCGCTCTCCTTGGTCCACAGAAGAATTGTCTTCCAGGAAACCAGCGCTGGTGCCAAAAAGCTTGGGGACCGTTGTGATAATGCATTGCAGGTTACAAGGCACTCAGAGACTTCAGTGGGCGGTGGAATAATTTAAAAATGTGATTGTATACATTTCGGAGATCTGCTGCACAGTATGGGGACTATAGTTAATAATAATGTATTGTAGATTTCAAAAGAGCAGAAAGAGTAGATTTCAAATGTTGTCACCACAAAAAGTGTTAAGTGTGTGGGGTGATATGTTAATTGGCTTGATCTAATCATTTCACAATGTACACATCTATCAAGACATCAAAACATTGTACCCTGTAAATATATATAGTTATTATTTGTCAATTTATAAAAGCAATCATACTTGTGATTTTAATATAAAAAATTTAAGAGAACAAGGGTGTTTATAAACTGTATCAAATGTTTAAGATTCTGAATTATTATATTTAAAGCTTTGAATGATTGAATTTATGAACCGTTCAAGGGCCTAGTGACATTTCCTGTTAGATTTGTAAATCTTCCTCTAGGTACTTGAAGTTTGAAGGTAAATATTTGTAAACATAGTATACAATGTATGAAGGAATTTAAGTTTGAGAGCAGTTAATCATATGGAAATTTAATCTGAAAACTCTATGAATGAATGTATGCTTAATGAATACATATGCTACATTGATTTCAGTTATTTTGCTTTTTTTTGTTGTTGTTATTTTGAGATGGAGTTTGCTCTGTCGCCCAGGCTGGAGTGCAGTGGTGCGATGTCAGCTCACTGCAACTCTACCTCCTGGGTTCAAGCAATTCTCCTGCTTCAGCTTCCTGAGTAGTGGGATTACAGGCTCACGCCACCATGCCTGGTTAAATTTTTTTGTATTTTTAATAGAGATGGGGTTTCACCATGTTGGCCAGGCTGGTCTCGAACTCCTGACCCCAAGTGATCCACCCGCCTTGGCCTTCCAAAGTGCTGGGATTACAGGCATGAGCCACCACAATCCGCCCATGTGCTAAATTAATTTTAAATTAATAAGCAAATGAACAAAATGTTATCCAAAGCAGAGTGTAGGGGAGTTCCTTTTCTCTTTGCTTCCTTCTTTTCTCCATTTTTTCTTTCTGTCTCTGTCTTTCATTCTTTCTTTTCCTAGAAATGACTTTGACACAGAATGGCAATGGACTGAATATTTATGTCTCCTCCCCAACCATACGCTGAAATACTAACAGCCAAGGTGATAGTATTAGAAGTGAGGCCTTTGGGAGGTGATTAGGTCCTTAGGGTGGAGACTTCAAGAATGAAGTTAGTGCCCTCATTAAAAACCCCCAAAGTTGCTTCTGCCTTTTGAAGTTCGGGTGAAAAGACAGCCGTCTATGATGAATCAGGCCTTGACAGGCACTGAATCTGCCAGCACCTTGAACTTGGACTTCTGGCCTCCAGAACTAGAAATGCATGAAACAAATTTCTGTTATTTATAAGCCACCCAGTTTACGGCATTTTGTTATAGCAGCCCAAATAGTAGTGAAACATCTAATTTAACATTTGTGAAAAGAAAGTGTAAACTGGCCAGGTGTGGTGGCAGACGTCTGTGATTCCAGCACATTGAGAGGCCAAGGCAGGCAGATCACTTGAGGTCAAGAGTTTGAGACTAGCCTGACCAACATGGTGAAACCCCATCTCTGTTAAAATTAGCTGGGCGTGGTGGCACACACCTGTAATCCCAGCTGCTCCGGAGCCTGAGGCATGAGAATCACCTGAACGAGAGGTGAAGGTTATAGTGGGCCAAGATCACACCACTGCACTTCAGCCTGGGCGACACAGCAGACTCTATCTCAAAAACAAAACAAAACAAAATGAAAATGTAAACTAAAAAATTCCTATATTCCTGCTCAGTGTTAACTGAACGGACCTCTTCTTTGCCATGGGGACTGCAGACATATTTTAAAAACTGAATTTTCAGCTATGACAGGAGATCAGGCTTGCCTCTTAATACCCCTGTTCTTTTGCAGTTGAGACACAACAAGTGACTGGCATTAATGTTAAAATAAAGACCAGCTGGGCAAGGTAGCTCACACATGTAATCCCAGCACTTTGGGAGGCCGAGGCGGGTGGATCACCTGAGGTCAGGAGTTCTAGACCAGCCTGATCAACATAAAGAAATCCCGTCTCTACTAAAAATACAAAAAAATTTAGCTGGGCGTAGTGGCGCATGCCTGTTATCCCAGCTACTGGGGCAATTGAGGCAGGAGAATTGCTTGAACCTGGGAGGTGGAGGTTGTGGTGAGCCGAGATCACCCCATTACACTCCAGCCTGGGCAACAAGAGCGAAACTCCATCTTAAAAAAATAAAATAAAATAAAATAGAGACCACGAGACTAGCAGAACAGACTCTTTGTGGCAATAAGATACCAAATTGTAAACAAGATCACAGGTCATGTCAGGCGAGGATTAAGTCACATACCCCTACACTGGAAGAATAAATTATGTTCTCACTGCCACAAGATTTTTCTTTTTCTCTAGCAGCTGAACAATCACTGCCCTAAAGATAAGCAATATTTAAACAATTGCAACGCATCCAGCTCACAGACGCTAACTAACTGAACCCCTGTTCCACCAGTTATAACTTCAGCTTTGATTGGACAAATGCCTGATTTCAGTAACTTTCTCCTGATAAGCAGGCCACTGACCATGGACTGGTTCTGGCCAGTTTGCAGAGGCTGCACACTGAGTGCTTTTGTGTCCTTAAAAGACCTTTTCACATACTTGGCCTAACTGTCATACATTAAAATTTTATGTTTCTACCCCAAAGTGAGTCATTATGTTACATGTGGTTTGTTCAATATACGTGCGTCAGGACCACCTTCATGAATATGCATAGCTCCTCCTGTAATCTGTTGAATATATATGTTTAGCCAAACTGTTCAGCACAAAGGTCTTGCCCCAGCCCTTCCTCCTTCAGTGTACCTCTTTCTGGTCTTGGCTGGAGGCTGTGCTTCCCAGACTGCTGGTTGGCCACCTTGCAGGCTGTAACCCTTTACCAGAAATAGAGTCTTCATGCCTGTAATCTCATCTCAGTGCTAGGAGGCTGAGGCAGGAGGATTGCTTGAGCCCAGGAGTTTGAGACCAGCCTGGGCAACATAACAATATCTTGTCTCTATTAAAAAAAATATCCAGATGTGGTAGCATGTACCTGTAGTCCCATCTACTCAGGAGGCTGAGGTGGGAGGATTGCTTGAACCCAGAATTTTGGGGCTGCAGTGAGCTATGATCATACCACTTCACTCCAGCCAGGGTGACAGAGTGAGACTATCTTAAAAAGAAAAAAGGAAAGTATTTTCTACATTTATGAACTGTGATTTTTTTTTTCAGTTGA